GATTTAATTCGGATCTAAACTTCAGGAGAAGTTTGTGGGGAGGATGATGGAATTATGGGAGGTATTAAAGTGGCTAAAGTTTAATTGGTACGAGGGAGGGATTAGGACGGCGGTACGGCAGCGGTTACGCGGCGGTGGTGTGGCGGTGGCGGTAGAGGGGCTTACCTGGTACGTGGTTTTGAGGTGGGGGGGGGGGGGGTTGGTACTTGGAGGGACTTGGTGTTGGGGAGTAGCTGTGTTGAGGGGAGGAAGTAGTAGTTTGGGGTTGTGAGCAAGCTTCTCTCTGTCTTCTTCTCTCTCTCTCTCTCTCTTCTCTCTCTCTCTCTCTTCTCTCTCTCTCTCTCTCTCCCTTCCCTCCCTCTCTCTCTCCTCTCTCTCTCTCTCTCTCTTCTCTCTCTCTCTCTCTCTCTCTCTCTCTCTCTCTCTCTCTCTCTCTCTCTCTCTCCCTCCCTCTCTCTCCCTCTCCCCTGATCCCCTCCCTCTCTCCCTCTATCCCCTCCCTCTCTCCCTCTATCCCCCCCATCCCTCTATCCCCTCCTCTATCCCTCTATCCCCCTCTCTTCGTATCCTCTATCCCGTCTCTCCTCCCTTCTCCCCCTCTTAATCTTCCCCTCCCCCTTCTTTCTTCTCTCTTCCCTCTACCCTCTCTCTCTCCCTCTCCCTCTCCTCTATCCCTCCCCCCTCTCTTCTTTCTCTCCTCTCTCTCTCTCCCTCTCCCTCTCTATCCCCTCTCTCCCCTCTCTCTCCCTCTCCCTCTATCCCCTTCTCTCTCCCTCTCCCTCTATCCCTCCTTCCCTCTCCTCTTCTCCTTTCCACACTCTCTCTCTCTCTCTCTCTCTCTCTCTCTCTCTCTCTCTCTCTCTCTCTCTCTCTCTCTCTCTCTCCTCTCTCTCTCTCTCTCTCTCTCTCTCTTCTCTCTCTCCCTCCCTCCCTCCCTCCCTCACTCCCTCATTTACCTAAGTGCTCGGCAGGCCCTCGCACACCAGCAGGCTGCGTCGGCGAGCGAGCGAACACTGGCTCTCGGCCTTTGACGAAGTCGAGTGCGAATTTTTAAGGGAAGCGAGATTCTTGTCTTCAAAGTTGCCTCCGCAGCATTTCCTCATATAGGAGAGCGTCCACCCCTTCCCTCGACCCCCTCCCCTCTTTCCCTTCGCCCCCCCTCCATCCCGCTCTCCCTTCAGCCTCAAACCCGCCATCCCGATCTCCCCTCAGCCCCAACTCCCTACCTCCTCTACCCCCAAGTCCCGTCCCCTTCCTCCCTTTCCCCTCACTCTCCTACCCCCATCCCTCTTTCCCCTCAGTCCACATCATCCTCTCCCCCCCCCCCCCACCCAGCGCCAACACACCAGCTTGTAGGAGGAAATACAGCAGCTGAAGAGCCCCGGCTGGACTTATTCCTCGGTGAGAAGACAAAAAATAAGGATAAAAGAGAGAGAAGAGAAGCGAGAGAGAAGGTTAGAAAAAAAACGTGGAGAGTGGAGGTCGTGTTTTTCTAGTAATTTTGAAAATGAAGAATGGGTCGTCTGTGTGTGTTTTTTTTACTTCTTTTTTTAATAATTTGTTTCCGGAATTCGTTTGTCCGGAGCTTAAACTGGCTGCCACACCAGTCATTTTTTTTAAACTTTGTTTCTCGTTCGTTGTTATGAGTGCTATCACCATCGTTATCCTGAAATTAAATTACCTTATTCAGGTAGTTGTTCTTAAGGACCATCATACGCCGACGTTAAAAGAAATAATTGTTTGCTTTGCTGAGAATAATTTTCCCGCGAAACCGTTGATACAGCTGTCTCGTTCACATCCGATTGCCACCAGTCAGCTGATTCATGTGACGTAGTCGTATCTGCTTCATTCGCATCCGTTTCCCATCAGTCAGCTGATTTATTTGGCGTGTTCGCTGTATTTACATCTAATCCGTAAGCCCACCTGTGAACGTGAACAAAATTGCCATTGCTCCTCTCTTACTTCACATTTCGCCTCGTGTTCTCATGATGTTCATATTATATTGTTTTTCACTATAATTTCCTTCTCGTAGTCGTCATATTTTATGATATTATAATAATATCATAAACATTAATTTCTCTAGATCTAGGTCAATTTACACTACTATTTCTTTATTTATTCATTCATTATCTGTTCCAGCTAATTCAGTGGTCTTCATGTTTATTCTGCCTATATTAATTCCGTTTACCTAGCTTATTCCTCACGCTTTTATTTAACCCTTATTCATAGTTGTTTACTGCGGACGTCTTTCTTTCTTGTTTCTACTTCAATCACTATTCTCCGGAGTTATGTTTTCTTGTTCTTCTGTGATGTCTGGTACAATATTGTTGTTAGTGTACCTTGTATAGCCTTAACCTACTGAGCGAGCTAAATAATGAGTAACGCATGACCCGCTAATCCACAATAGGACCGGGCAATTATTTTTAATTTCGTATGGGTAGCTCAGGTGGGCCCTGGGTATCGACAAAGTGTTAGAAGGAATCTGGAATCCTGGTGTAAAGACAGCATAGAGTGCGATGTGGAATGGTAGGGCTCGAGCTGGAGGTGGGTGGCCGGTGCGACTGGGGGAGGGAGGAGAGAGAAGAGAGAAGCGGGTATGAGAAGAGAGGGGAAGAGGGCCGTAGAGAGAGAGGAGGGAAGAGGAAGAAGGAGAGAAGGAGAGACGAAGGAGAGAGGAAAGGGGAGAGAAGGGGTATGGTAGAAGATGGAGAAGGGAGGGAAGAGAAAGAGAAAGGAGAGCATGGGATGAGGAGAAGGAGAAGGAGAGGATGGAGAAATGGGAGACAAGGCGTGGAAAGGAAGAGAAAGAAAGGGAAGGGGCATAGGGAGAAAGAAAAGGACGAGAAATAAGGAAGGAGAAGGATAAGAAAGAGAGGGGAAGGGGAAGAGAAGAGGGGAGGATTAAGGAGAGAGGGGAAGAGGGAATGGGAGAAACAGGGGGAGGAGAGAGCGAAGAGAAAGGGAAGTGAGGGAAGAGCTGATGGGATCAAGGAAGAGTGGAGGGGTAGGAGGAGAGGGAGGGATGAGCGGAAGGGGTTAAAGAGGAGAGAGGAGAGTTGAAGGTAGGGAGATATAAGAAAGGTGAGGACGGGACAGAAGTACGGAAGGTGCAGAGGGAAGTGGGAAAAGAGGAAAGGAAAAAGGAAGACTGAAATTGGAAAGATGAGGAAAGAGGAAGAGGCTAGAATAAAGAGTAAAAAAGTAGGAAGACAGGAAGGGGGCAATGGATCAAAGGAAAGGCGAGAGAGAGAGAGAAGAGCAGAGCAGAGAAGAGAAAGAAGAGAAGAAAGAAAGGAAAAGAGAAAAAGAAGCAAAAGAAAAAGGAGAAGAGAAGAGGGAAGGGGAATGGAGGGGGGGGACAACGACCCGCCTCCTCCGCAACTTTCAATTCGGGCCTGATGAAGAGGACAGCCTGGTTGCCGACAGAACAACTCGCCACGGACTATTGCGATACAATTGAGAGGAAAGGCGGCGGGCGGAAGGGGGCGAGAGCGCACTTCGGACGGCGAGTGTTTCGTCCGCGCCCACGAAATGCCTTTGTGGCGGAGAAGCAAGATGGATCCTCGGCGGTGGGCGTCGCGGGGCCGTCCCTGCAGCCGCTTCATTGCCCTCGAGCTTCGGCAGGAATGTGGGCGACGCGACGGGGCTGTGGGCGGTGACTGGGTGTACATGCATACATATGGACGGAGACAGAGTGGGCCAGACACTGCATGACACACGACAGAGAGTGAGATGGACGAGAAAATGTGTGCGTGGAGAGAGAGAGCCGAGAGCGAGTGCAGAGTAAGAGAGAGAGAGAAAAAGTGAGAGAGCAGAGAATGAGTTGAGAGGAAGAGAGAAGAGAGGAAGAGTGAAGTGAGATGAGAGAGTGAGAGTGAGGAGCGAGAGAATGCATGTGTGTGTGTGAGAGAGAGAATGAGTGAGAGAAAAGAGAGAGAGCAGAGATTAACAGATGGCAGAGAGAGAATTGGCGAGAGAAAGTGAGAGACGAAAAGAGAGTGAGAGAAGAGAGGAGAGGAGAGACAGAAAGAGCGGAGAGAGAGGAGAGAGAAAAGAAAGTGAGTGAGAAAGGTGAGCTGAGAGAGCGAGAGACAGTGAGAGAAAAGAGAGAGGAAGAGAGAGGAGAGCGTGAGAGAAAAGGTCAGAGCGAGGCGAGAGAGTTAGAGAATCCAAGAACACACACTCGCACGTGTTTTCCCTCCCCTGCATAATTAGACGAGACTCGCAAATAAGGACATACGTAACCCGAGTGAGTCGAGAGAGAGAGCAGAGAGCTTCCTAGAGCTTTGCAAAATAAAGCTTCCATTTCGGTTTGATGTTGAGAGGAAGGGGGGAAAAGGAGGCGCGGGAGGAGGAGAGGAAGAGGGAAAGAGGAAGCGGCGCTAGAGGGAGAAAGGAGAGGAGGCCGGAGCGCTCCCAAGGGAGAGATGAGAGGAAAAGGAGGAGATGGAGAAGGCGCGGCAAGGAGGAGGAGGATCTCAGAACGAAGCAGCGAGGATAGGAGGAGAAAGGAGAGAGACGCAAAGAGAGGAAAGAAATCCTGCCCAGAGATGCGGAGGGGAGAAGGGACTCGAGCAAACTGTGGAGATAGTGGAGGCAGGCTGCAGGAGAGGGATTAGAAAGCGAGAGGATAGATAGCTAAGGGAGGAGAGCGGATTCGACACTGAAGGGGCGAGTTGTTGAGGAAGCGCCCGGAAAAGTAAGCTTGCCAGTTATAATGATGGTAATGGAAGAGAGAGGGATCGGCATGGAAGAAGGGGAGCAGGAAGGGTTGTAAGAGAATTAATTGAGATATCGGGTAGAGAGGGAGGGAGGAAGGAAAAGCGGGCGTCGAAAAAGAAGAAGCGAAGACGGGATAGGAGGGGGAAGGGAAGGGGAGACGTGAAAAGGAACGGAATCGTGAGATAGAGCGAGCGTGACCTAGCCAGAGCGAGAAGAGGGGAGGAGAAGTGAAAAAGGAAAGAGAACGGAAAGAGAAAGAGCGGAGAGGAGGAGGAGGA